TGAGTATAGCTTCATTTTTTCCCATGGCATCTTGGGTATGGTTATTCTTTTCTTCAGCCCTTTGTATTGCTTGAACATTCTCTATAGAGTTGGTTTGGTGGACATGAATTCTTTGCCTGCTTATATCATGGAAGACTTTTCCTTCTCCTTTGATTATGATAGTTTTGCTGTGTAAAGAAATCTGGGTTGGGGGCTGGAGAGATGACTCAGGTTGCAAGAGCTCTGGCTGTTCTTGCAGTAGACCTAGTTTTGAATTCCAGCACACACATGGTGGCTAACAACCATCCATAACTCCAGTTCCAGGGAATATGATGCTTTCTTCTGTTGCAGGCCTAACACTCATACACATAAAAAGAAATTTAAAAAAATTTGATTTTGGGGGGAGGTATTTTTGAGACAGGGTCTCCCTGTAGCCCCAGCTGGCCTGGAACTCACTATGCAGACCAGGCTGGCCTTGAACTCACAGAGATCCACCTGCCTCTGCCTCCTGAGTGCTAGGATTAAAGGTGTGTGCCACAACACCCAGCTCAATTTTAAAAAATTAAAAAAAAAAAGAAGTCTGGGATAGCATCTGTTGTCATTTAGGACTTTAAAGCCATTGTTTCTGGCTTTTACAGTCTGCATTGAAATGTCAGCTGTTGTTCTGATGGGTTTTCCTTTAGATGTAACTTGTTTTCCTTTAGATGTAACTTGGTTTTTTTTCTTGCAGCTTTCAGTAACCTTTCTTTGTCCTATATATTTAGTATTTTTATTATGATATGCCATGGGGAATTTCTTATCTGGTCCTGTCTATTTAGTATTCTGTGTGCTTCTGGCATCTGTATGGATATGTCCTTCTTTAATTTAGGGATGTTTTCTTCCATAATCAATGCCATTGACCTGAGATTCTTCTCCTTCCTCTATGCCTATAGTTCATAGATTTAGTTTTTTCATGGTGTTCCATAGCTCCTGCATATTGCATTCCTGTGTTTTAATTTTTTCATATTATTTGTTTAAGCAGTCTAATTCTCCAACTTTATCATCAAGTCATGATTTTCTGCTTTCCATTTAATGTATTTTCCTGATAGTGCTTTGTCCTGTCTTTTCTAATTAGCTTATTGAGTTTTCCAATTCCATCTTTATCTCTCCTTGGGTTTTCTTCAATATTTTTCTCTTTCATGAATTCACTTTTCAAATCCTGAATTGTCTTTGTCATTCCATTTTGTGGTATATTTGTATTTTCTTGAACTTCAGTCAGGAGTTTATCCCTATCCTTTTTAAGTTGGTTTCTATTTACTGAGTTGTTCGTATGTTTAAAGTTGTTGAACTCCAATCATGTTTATGATTGTTCTTTTAGGTTGGGTCCTGGGATTCCTATGGGTAGCTCTCATTGTAGAACACTTCTGTAGGGCTGTTGGGATTTGTTGTGAACATATTATCTTGGTTTTTCATATTATTTGTGTTTTTGTGTTGTGATATGGGAATATGGGCTTTGTGGTGGCTGGTTATGTGTCTGATATGAAATTCTTTGTTGAATAGAAGTTTGGTCATGTTTTTATTGCTGTTGTAGCTTGGTTAATTTCTGCTCAGGTTTGACTAGATAGTTGGTCTGTGCTTCAGGTTCCTGGTTTTGATTTTTTTATTGGAGGGGTGGGGTGATTCTAGTCTGATCCAGTGTGCCATGTGGACAATCATAATTAGAACTGTGAGTGTGGAGATTTTTTTTGGAAAGGTTTGGGTGGGTTCTAACTAGCTCACCAGGACTGTCCAGGGCACACTACCAGCCAGTTCCTATCTTAGTACCAGAAAGGAAAAATGGCAGAGGAGTTGGCAGGCTCTCATTAGCTCAACAAAGTAGTCTGGAGCCTAGGAGGAGTAAGTTCCGTTCCTAGTCACAGTGGGAACATATTATCTTGGTTTTTCATATTATTTGTGTTTTTGTGTTGTGATATGGGAATATGGGCTTTGTGGTGGCTGGTTATGTGTCTGATATGAAATTCTTTGTTGAATAGAAGTTTGGTCATGTTTTTATTGCTGTTGTAGCTTGGTTAATTTCTGCTCAGGTTTGACTAGATAGTTGGTCTGTGCTTCAGGTTCCTGGTTTTGATTTTTTTATTGGAGGGGTGGGGTGATTCTAGTCTGATCCAGTGTGCCATGTGGACAATCATAATTAGAACTGTGAGTGTGGAGATTTTTTTGGAAAGGTTTGGGTGGGTTCTAACTAGCTCACCAGGACTGTCCAGGGCACACTACCAGCCAGTTCCTATCTTAGTACCAGAAAGGAAAAATGGCAGAGGAGTTGGCAGGCTCTCATTAGCTCACCAGAGTAGTCTGGAGCATAGGAGCAGTAAGTTCCCTTCCTAGTACCAGAGATGAAAGATGTTGAAGAAGTTGATGGGTTCTAAGTACCTTACTAGGGTGTATGAGCAGCAGTTCCCATCCTAGTCCCAGAAAGAGAGAAGATGGCAAAGGAGTGGGTGCATTCTAACTAGTTTACCAGGAGGACCTGGAGCATGGGAGCAGTGGTTCCATCTTAGTCCCAGAGAAAAGATGGGGAAGGAGTGGGCAGGTTCTAACTGGCTCACCAAGGTGTAAGAGCTGTGGTACCTGTCCTTGTCCCAGAGAGGTGAGAGTCAGTTTTCTTTAAGGGTATGGCCCCTGTTAGGTTGACCATGGTCCAAGGCTGGTACCACTCTCAAAAGTATTTTGAACAATACAAATTGAACTCAGTGGGGAAATAAAAAGAAACACAAAGGTGTGTGGGTAGGGAGGTGAGTGCAGATCTGAGAGAGTTGGGAGAAGGGGAATATTATAAAAATATTTTATGAAACTTTTGAAGAATTAATTTTTAAAAATTTGAAAAAAAACCTGAAACCTGGAAACTCCTGGAAGAAAATATAGGAAACACTTTAGGACACTGGGGTAGACAAAAACTTTATGACATCAATAACACATGAATTAGCCCCAACTATCAACAGTTGGAATTATATGAAATTAAAAAGTTCCTGCCACAGCAAAGGAAACAATCAGCAATATTACCCAGGCATCCCACAGAATAGGAGAAAATCTTCACCAGCTATACATCAGACAAACAGCTAATATCCAGAATATACAAAGAACTGAAAAAAATTAAATATCAAGGAAATAAAATTACCAGTGAACAAATGGACTAACAAATTGAATAGTTTTTCAGAAAAGGAATAGAAATAAAATGGCCAAGAACTATTCTTAAAAGTGTTCAACATTCCTAGTCATTAAGGAAATGCTTTGAGATACCATCTTATCCAAGTCAAAATGCATTTTTTTCAAGAAATTCAACAACAAATGTTGGAGAGGATGTGGACAAAGAATAACTCCTTTGCACTGTTGGTGGGAGTGTGAATTAATACAGTCATTATGGAAATCAGTTTGGAGGTTCCTCAAAAAATCAAAAATAGATCTACCATATGACTTAAATATACATGTGTGTGCTTAGGAATATTATTCAGCTCTAAAGAAAAATGACATAAAAATTCACAGAAAAATGGATGGACTTATATATTAGGTGAGATCATCCAATCACAGAAAGTGAAAACCCACATGTTGTCCCTCATCTGTGGAGCATAGCCTGTAGTGTATAAATGTACACTTGTAAACAAATGCATTTGGGGTATACTGTAATATTTAGAAAGGAGAATAAGAAGGAATAATTTTTCTATTAATTTTTTTATTCATTGAGAATTTCATATACATATTTTGATCATATTCACCTCCCATTACTCCCCCAAACTCCCAGATCTATCCCTCACCTCTGTACACCCCCCCAACTTCATGTCTTCTTTTTTATTTTTAATAATCCATTGACTCTTAATTTGTGCTGCTCATATACTCCTGGATGTGGAGCCACTGAGTGGACTATGTAATAAAAAAGAAAGGGTAATATTTTTAAAGCATAGTGATTTCTTTTATGGTGGATATGTGAATTCAACTTCTGGATACTGCATTCCAAGAGAATCTGTGTTATCCCTTTGAGGCAACCACTGGAAAAGTTTGGCTTTCTTTTTAATTCCATTGACCACTAGTGCAATAGGAATTAGACATGACTAGCCACTAAATACATCGATCCATTTAGAAAAAAGTCTTTTTTGTTGTTGTTAAGTTTGTTTTGTCACCTGAAATTTCTCCCCGTTTTCTTTTGCTTAAAATTATATCAAATAAATCTACTATAGTGTTGTTTTAATATGTAACTTGTAT